ATCTGCAAGTCGATCATATGGAAATGGCACGATTAGTAGCCACATTAGATTAGCCACTTAATTTTACCGAACAAAAGAATTGACAGCGTTATATTAAAATTGTACATAATCCTAATGCATATTTATTTTCAAGAACTACTATTAGGAAAGATGCATTAAAATTGTATAAACAATAAAATGAAGCATTAATCAACATTGTACACTCTACTAATGGTTGCATTGCGTTAACGGTGGATATTTGATCCGCCGTTGCCAACAAAGATTATTTAGCTGAAACCGAACATTATTTTAAAGGTTTTGATTTAGATAAGAGAATATTAAGTTTTAAATGTGTTCTAGGATCACATACCACCGATTTAATAAATAATACAATTTTATCTTTCATTGATAAATATAGTTTAAGGGATAGAGTAATGGCTATAATATTAGATAATGCTATTGTAAATACTAAAGCAATATAACTTTTTGAAAAGGATTTAAGTTTATTCGGTAATAATGATATATTTCACCAACATTGTGCATGCCATGTAATTAATTTAATAGTAAAATTCGGTTTAAAATAAATGTCAGGTCATATTAAAAGAATTAGAGATATCATTGCATGGATTCAAGGTAGTAATAAAAGAATACAAGATTGGTTTAGGTTTCTACAAGCATGTAATCAAAATCCTAGTGCATTAGCATTAGATATGCTCATAAGATGGAACTCCACTTATATAATGCTTGAATAATGCATCCCCTATAAAGATGCTATAACAAACTATGTTAGTGCAAAATTAAGACCATGATTTATAGACCAAACTGATTGACAAATTGCCGAACTTTTGTATAACTTTTTAAGTAGATTTCACGATGTTACTTTAAAACTTAGTAGAACATATTACCCAACGTCACCATTAGTGTTAGGTGAACTTTTAAGAATGACTATTTTATTTAGTGAATTTAGGACACACGAGGTTTTAGGAGTTCCTATCGCTTCTATGGAAAAAAATTTTAAAAAATATTGAGCTAAGTTACCAATATTGTATGGTTTCGGTGTTATTTTTTATCCTAGATTAAAATTAGAAGGTTTAAAAAGTGGATTAGAAAACTTATGTGACTTTTTGGATATCGACTGTTCTGACCAATTTCCTATTATAAAGGGAAAAATATTATCTCTTTATAGCTCTTATGAAAGTAAGTTTAGAAACACACCTCTTGTATAACAACCACAACAACGAGATGACAATCCGCATTCATTCTTGAATGTTTTCGGGTTAAAGAAGAAGAAGAAGACGACGACGACGACTCAAGGTCAAGGAGAATCTGGGAGTGGATCTTCATCAATAGGTGGCGGCAACAGTAGCGACTTCAACGAATTAATGGGGTACCTGAGTGAGGGCTTAGTAGTCGGCAATAATGAAATGATTGATTTGGTTCAGTGGTGGAGGGCATGAGCATTAACTTGGCCGATCCTAACTCGACTGGCAATGGATATTTTTTTGATCTCAGTCTCCACTGTTTCATTCGAACAAGCCTTCAGTACGACCGGTCGAATACTTGAGGAACGTAGAAATGCATTGCAACAGGACATTGTTGAAGCTTTGGTGTGCATTAAGGATTGGGATCGTTTCGACCAACGCTTACACGATACAATTTCACCGGCAAGCCAAGAATGGATCCTTTAGCTTCAAATTAAATTCTATTATTGTAATTTGTAAGTATTTATTTACTTTGTACAGTGTTATTGTAATTTTGTATAGACTTTATAAGTTCGTCAAATTTGTAATTCGTCCCAGAATGGTTGCACTCTTTTTTTCTTACCAAGTTTTTATCCCAATTGGACTTTTCTTGGTAAGGTTTTTAACAAGCCAATCATAAATTACAAATTTAAAAAGTAATAAATAAATAATTTTTTTATATAGTTCGTGTGCATTTCAAATTTTAAATTGCAATCTCCTTTATAATTTTTGTATAATATTTACAATAGATAACTTAAAAATTATTTATATACATACCATATACAATTAATAAATAAAATCATATATAATACATATAATAGTATATAAATATATAAAAAATATTAAAAAATTAGGTCGAGCACCTCGGGCGATCTCGGGCTGCCCGATCGGGCTCGAGCAGCCAAAACTTGCCCGAAGCCCATCCAAAGGCTTGCTCGGGTCGGGCAGCCCAAAAATTCAGGCTCAGGTGAGTTCGGTCATCGGGTAAAAATTCAGAATTTTCGGTGGTCACGGGCGGCCCGTCTAAAGTTTCAGCACTATTTATATGTTTCTAATTTTAGTCCATAATTTCTACAGATTCCGTCAAATATTAAACACCAAACTAACATAATGACTAAAACTGAAACATAATAAAACCTTAGGGACTAACTATGCGACGTTTGAAAAGTCATGAATTAAAGTATCTCGGGGACCGTTTGTGAGATTAACCCTAACTTTTTTATATTAAAATTTAAAATTTCTTCTCAATTTTAGTTTTAACTATTTACGATCATCCTAATTGTTGAGTTTAATAAGAAAAATAATAATAATAATAATAATAATAATAATAATAATAATAGTAAAAGAGCACATTTAAAAGAGAGAAAAGTTTTTAACGGAAAAACTAAGAAAGTAAATTATTTATATGGTATGTATAAAAAAAAATTAAAAAGTTTGTATAAACGTTTAAGCATGAAAACATTCGAGACGACAATATTAAAGGAAGCAATTAGGAAAAAAAATATTTACGAGATTACGGTTGGACAAAAAGTTATTGACTAAAAGAAAAGATATGTTTAGGTTATCACACACATGAAAAAATTTATTTTAATCATAGCAGTTTTAGGGAAAAAGTTTAATAAGGTATTTTGAAAATATAAGATTTATAAATAAACAAAAAAGTAAAAGGATCTAAATATATTTCAACCATACATGTATTTTGGTTAAATGTCTATGTGCGGGAGAAAGTGTGAGTATATGTTGTAAAGATAATATATACTAAATATATTAAAGATGTTAAGAAAAGTTGCCAAAAAAAAGTAGGGAAAAAATGAAAAAAGAAATTGATATTTTACAAACGAATGATAGTGTACTAAAAGGGTTTTTGTTTCGACCAAAAAAAAAAAAAAGAGTAGAGATACATTTTAAAAAACTATTTTAGTATAAGGTATTAAGGAAGAAAATGTATTTTGAAGAATCAAAACAAAAAAAATTGAGAAATCTTTTGGTGGGAAAAAGAATTAAGGGCATATTTAAAAGAAATTACTTTAATATGAACAAAGTAAGAAAAAGAATGTATTTCAAAAAAGTATACTGCAATTACTTTATTGTTGAGGAGCTTTTGTCCAAAAGGAACAAAAGGAAAACAAAAGAAGAAAAAACAAGAGAAGAAAAAAAGAGTGGAGTTGACACTTGATAAATGGAGGAGAATGCACCATAAGGGGCTGTCTGTTTTATGTATGTTAGACTAGTTAAATTCACCTGCTTTGCACGTTTGAGCTTTTTGTGGAGGTTGGATAATATCGTGTATTTTAAAGATATTATAATTGTGTTTGGTTAGCAAATATTTTATGGATTATAACGAAAATGAAAAATTGTGTGAATGATTTTTGTTATTAAAAAATAGTTAAAAGTTTTTTTCTACATTTTCGTTTTTATTTTTTAAGGCTATAACTTAATATGTGTTTTTAGAAATATACCCAAACACAGTTAACTTTTTTCTAATACTAAAATAATCTCTTAAAAAAAATAACTAAATGCAATTTTAGAAACAATACAATAACATTCCAAAAAATTACTTTGTTTTCTAAAATAAATAATGTGTATTATAATTTGGTGTTCCCTTATTTTTTGTGACCAATAGATTTTGATTTAGTAGTTCTTAAAAGTATCCTATCGATACGGAGATTTTAAGGCCCCTTATCATAGAACTTCCCATATTTATGTTTATTTTTAGGGACAAAATATAATTTGTGCTAAAGTATGAAAAAGGACCGTATTTGTGAGATAATTTTTAACCACTAAATCAAATTGAGCGGTAATTTTTAACCCATGGATTAAATTAAAATATTGTAGACGGCCGCGTTCGTTTCGTTGATTTGAGTTTAGAATTTGAGTTGAGATGTGATTTTATGTGAGAGTTTTTTACTGTAGCAAAAAAGTTAGATGTGACTATTTGTGAGAGCTTTTTACTGTAGCAAAACTCAAATTCTAAACCCGAATCAGCGAAACGAACGAGGCATAAATTAAGTATGATCAATTTATTAAAATATATTTTATGCCTGTTAATTATATCTCGGACCAAAAGTTGGACATGTTTGATGTGCGGTTCCGTTTTTTTCGTTGATTCGAGTTTAGAATTTGAGTTTTGTTACAGTAAAAAGTTCTCAGAAACAATCACATCTAACTTTTTTATTACAGTAAAAAATTCTCACATAATATTACATCTCAACTCAAATTAACGAACCGAACGGATTGTTATTTTCGGTCTTGACGTTAAATAAAAACAAGGGATCCGTTGAAAGTCCGTGTCACGTGGCTTTGCACCGAAAGAACTGCTTGGCTATAATTTATGTAGCTTTTTTTTTTTTTTGTGCTAAACAATTTATTCTGTTCTTTAGAAATATAAAAAGAAAAAAAACTTTGAAGCGGGCAGATTCAAGACTCGATACAAATTTCATAAAGCTGTCCTAATTCGAAACAAGAGGCAATCAAACTCAAGCAATAAGACCAAGACCTGGGCCAAAACATTTGAAAAGTCATCACTATAACCCCTTCAAAAAAACAAACCCATTAGCCTAAAACTCCTGAATTGGGTCATCTAATACTACTGATTTCGAAAGAGCCTAAGACCACCCAAAAAAAAAATTGTATTTCAAGTGGTAATGGCTCATGAAGAATAATTTTCAATTGAAATGTATGGTAATATCTTCAATATTGAGCTTTTTTTTTTTTGTTACAATATACAATCTCCATAGTCCTAAAGTCATGAATCAAATATACGTATAAAAATTGGTTTGAATAAAAAAAAATTATCAGGTGCCATAACAAAAGTCCCTCATTAACATATATTATATTATTTGCTAATTTTGGTACTTTGCATATAAACTTCCTCAGACCTCCAAGCTGCTCTTTCTACATTTTGAAAATAAATAAAAAGAGAAGCATATTCTTGTATTTCGAATGCCTGAAAGGATCATACATTTCTGCTTAGAAGGTTCCTATTGCGGATTGCCCTGAAGTAGCTGGACAAGCTCCTCTGCTCTTGATTGGATGCCTTTAAGATACTCGGTAAGAATGCGTTGCTTGTAAGAACCACCCTCCTGAGAGAGAGTGAGAGCGAGAAATAATAAGTTTTGAAATTATACATAAAGAAACAATTGGCAACAGCATAACAAAGATCTATACGACAGTTCTTACAGTTCTGATCAGAGTTCGCTCAATTCTTTTCTTGATGACTGCATATAATTCCTCAGGTGAAACTTCTCCTTTACCAAGTGTGATTCCATCGATCAGAAGCTTGTTCCATTGTTCCTCGGGGGCTGCAGATACAGATACCAGGCAGTGAGGCAGATCCACCACGCGTAAAATAAAGGTAAAGACTAAGGGATGCTAATTAGTTGTTAAGCAAAACAATAGAGAATCTTGAGCATTGCTCGATGGATATCAAGAAATGTGCATGCCACATTTGTGGTGTTGGTCCTTGTGATTCAAGGTTTCAACTAAAAAATAATGGGCGCTTCTAGCAACTCTAAACAATAAGCCTAGAAGACATACATATTATTACTGAAGTTCTTAACGTCATAGTAAACACAGCAAGGAATTAATCTCGAAGGCAGGAGACTTGGCCCGCAGAAGAGACCAACCTCTTCAAAAGAGTACCATTTCACTTACACGTTAAAATCAAAACGATGGAGAAATCATCGAGGATTAGAAGATTCAAATGCATTAAATTTCACTAGTAAAAGAAAATTATTTTCCTGGGAACTAGTGACAGACTAAGAAAGTTCGTCAATTTAATACTTCACAAAGAATAACTAACTTGTTATGATTTCCCCAAAGCATAATACTTTTTTTTTATGTGACATAATACTTAAGAGATGGTAATCACCTTTGATTATGGTCTCAAGAAACTGCTCAGCCTTCAAGACTTCATCACCTACAAGAGGAATGGTTAGTGCATTGTTTTTAGCATGTTCAACTAATAAAATAAAGCAAGCGAAAGAAAAAAGGTAACAAACATCATTCCCACAGAAAAAAGAAATAACAAATTAGTAGTAATCATAGTAACACAAGAAAGGAAGAAAAAGTCACAGGACTTTATAACTTATGTAAGTAGAAAAGCTATCTTGATGGAATAATGAATTACCTTTCTTCGCATAACTACGTTTTGAAAGAACTATGGAAGCATAGAGTTGCAAAACCTTTTGCAGCATAGCCTCAAGCCCTGGTTTGTCCCCATCTTCTTTGGCCTACAATAACAAATTAATAAACTATATGTATGTATACATATACATAATAAATTTTCATATTCTACCAGACGTCATCTTAAAAGTTCAAAAAGATTAGCATCAATACTGCAAAAAAATGGTTAAGGTCATTAAAAGAAAAAATAGAAAGTCAATAAGCAACAGATTTTTCTGGTCAGAAGAAACCTATTTATCATTAAACCAACAATATATGAAATGTAAGACTGGCACATTTTTTTTTTAACCCTAAAGCCAGAGTAATTGGAAATATACTAGAGGAAAGCAATTTTCTACAGTCGTTGAAGGCTATATGGTCCCGTATTAAGGCAACTTAGAAGGCATTGGTCTAATGAAAGAACAATTTGGCAAGAAACGTTAAATTCAATTTAATGGACTCACTTGGCGTAGTTGTGCATTAACTTCGGCAAGAAACCCTTCATCTAATTGCCCTTCTTTCTCTCTTTGAATTATTTCCTAATAATAAGAAAAGAAGAAAAAAGACAATAATTGCATCAATTTGGTACAGTAAAAAGTGAAAACATCTTGCATCTCTTAATAAGGAATATATAGACATTACAACATCCAGAAAAACATATTCAAAACCATCACAGTCCATAATTTTAGTAAGGTAAAAGATTGAAATAAACTGTCATATTCTAACGAAGTTTCGTCGAGGGAAAGCCCGCAAAAAAAAAAAAAAAAAAAATGAAACTAGAGAAAAACCCGGAGGACAGAAAGAATAGATTGTAAGTAAACTTAGACAGGAAGAATAGATTGTAAACAACTTGACCATAAGTCAGTAATGTATTACATGGAAAATGATGATGACATTTAAACTTTCTTACGGACAAAAAGAGCCTGTTGCATATTTAGTAAAAACGGAAAAAAAAATACAAAAATATATTTCTTACTAAGACATAAAGTTAGAGAGATATTGTTAGAGTAACAACTTACTTTCTCCATTTGATTAAGTGCATCAGGATCTCTAGGAGGCCATGAAATTTCTTCAACTTCATCAACTACAGGTTTTAGAATATCCTTGAGGACATCAGTGGATGATTCTATCTTTTCCTGCAGAGTTAGAAAGTTGAAAAGAAAAAATAATTCACAAGAGAAGTTTTATATTGTTTCACGGATTTTTCCTTTTTCTTTTTAATTTCATGAACATGGATTTATAAGGGAAGAGAGGAAGGGAGCAGGTACATTGGTCTTATGGACGAGACGGTCCACTATGCTCATTACAGATACAGCTAATTCTTCATAGTCTTTCTGAAAGAAGATAACAGTGAAACGAAGAAATTGTTAAAAAGAGCGTGTATTGAAAAGACAAATATAAATCATATAATAGATCATAACAAACTAAGTTGAAAACCATGCTTTATCATCCTCAGATTTGCAAGTATCGGTCCTTGCTGCTAGCCTTATCCAAAAGCCCTCATTAAATGCCAAGACATTTTCAACAACCAGTTTCTGAAGCTGTTCAAGTGAAAATAACAAGCAATAAGAAATCATTCAAATAGTACCCGGGTGGAACTCAATAAATACAAAATATTTCGTCTTAGCAAAATTTTCATGTTTGACATGAAGAAACAAAAGTCCAAAATCAATTATATATACTTTTATGGACAATATTTATATGAATCACTGAATTGAGCAATCCCATTTCCCTAGAAATACAAAAAAAAAAAAAAAAAAAAAAAAAAAAATGGGAAACAAAAAAGGAAAAAAATTTTTGCTTAAA